AAATCTGCATGGCACTTTACTCCAATTGGCTCATTCGCTTGCTTAAACTCAACGTTGATTCTGATTCCGCAGAACTGGGTTGGGTGTGAAAAAGTATTTGTTATTAACATCCTTTTTTCATTCAGTTTTTCCAGTTATGAGTCCTTTTTTAAAGCTGATCGTTTTGTGTTCATTTTGTTTAGTTCTTTTTTCGTAACAGATTTAATGTTTAGTATAGAGCTTAGAAAAAATTCGCAGTGCGAGATAGGCAAGAAGTAAGGCATGAAGCAAGATCAGCACGGCAAAGGGCACTTCTTTAAAAGCAAGGAAGGGCAAACTATTTTAAGTCAAGTGATAGCGATTGCTGTATGAGTCGTACGATTTTTGAATCAAGCACGGGCAACGCCGTGCCATGCTGCTAGTTCCTTATAACGCTTAGAAAATTACATTCTTCTGATAACACAATTAACAACCCCCCCCAAATGACGTCAATTTTATGAATAGTTATTTTGCTTGTGGTAATTTTACGCCTGTCTTGTCTCCTTTCTTTTCTTTTCTTTTTTTTTTTTTTACCTTTTTTTGTGTGTGAAACGGGTATCATTACGGGTATATAAGTGTAAAACGTGTATAATAGTTACCTATGTGCCCACGCCTTTGTTCACAAGAACATTATTCTTTTCTCGTTCAGTTCTGTTATATAATAATATATATAGAGAGTCTGGGAAATTCAGTATCGAAGTATGACTTCATTCTGAGTCTACGTGCTCGCAACTGTGACTCCTACAAAGCGGTTACCTCACACTCTCACTCTCTTACTGAATCACTGTCTCCCTTCCGGGTATTCACCGACAGCAGTACAAGCACACACTGGGCGAGTCCGCATGTATAAAAAGGGGTGGAGCCCTTAACATGTATAAATGAAAAAAAAACAATAGTAAAACTGTAGTTTTACCCGACGCGTTTCGTCCAATGTGGAATTTTTCAAGGCGAAAAACAAAATTAATTTATTGAAACAAAGTATCTAAAAACAACAAAATGCTAGCAACTAGAATTTATAAACGCTATTCATAGGGTCAACTGTAAAATTACGTCAATTATTTTATGTTTGAAGTGTGACGTCGCCCCTCCTTGATCGCAGCGTCGACTCTGTCTTTCGATCTCGTTCGCGGCTCCAACTGTGACGTGACGTGATGTGGCCGCCCAAGGGTCGATCCTTGTCACGGACAGCACCAGTTGTGACGTTTTTTGCCGCGGCGTCAGCTGTTCGCTCCTCGCTGCTCCAAGTGTGACGTTCCAACCCTCTGGTTAAATGATTACCAGCCTCGCCGTTCCCAACTCGCTTCCAACACCTGGTTACTAGGGTAACTGTACTGATCTCCGGTCTGCCTACCCACGTTGTGATTAGATCTTAGACAGACGGGATCAAACAGGAGTCGGGGCCGTATGTCAGCTGGTTCAACGGGGGGTGGCAACACACAAGTAAAAGAAAAAACTCACGAGGCAAAAAATTACTGATAAAAAAAAGGGTAACAACCTTTTATATCTAATGTTCGTTACATAAAATTATTCTTACTTCCCGACCCGTTTTGTGGACTGTGGCACCAAGCTTCTATCATACAATTTAAAGACTTCGAGTTGCCTACTCTCTAGAATTTTGTATGTCGGAGTGTGGTTTGGTTTCGACACTGGGCGCTAATCTCTACCAGTCGTTCACGGTTGATTCTTCTCTTCGGTTTGAGTTGGACGAGCTTATTCGCTTCGGCTTGAGTTGGACGTATTTCTTCACTTCGATTTGGGTTGGACGAATTTCCACCCTCAGGCTTGGCCTGGTTTCAACTTCTTCTAGACGCAACTGCAAGTAACTTCTTCTTCTTCCGTCCTGCAACTCTTCTCGCCAAGGTCCGAACTCTTCTCTCTGCCGTCTGAGGTGAACTCTTCTCTCTGCCTTCCGGGCTGAACTCATCTGCTTGTTTGGCCTGCAACTTTACTGCCTGTCTGGCCTGCAATTCTTCTGCTTGTCTGGCCTGCAGCTCTTCTTCTGGCCTGCAGCTCTTCTGCCTATCTGGCCTGCAATTCTTCGGCCTGTCTGGCCTGCAATTCTGCTCCAACTTCTGCGGCTTTCGAGCAATTTTCTTCTCTTCGACTTGGCTGCAACTTCTCTGCCTGTCCGGGCCAAACTTCACCGGCCTCTCTTGCCCGCAAGGGGCGAATGAGCAGGGCCCGCCGTCCGCTCTCCAACTGCTCTGGCCGTCTACCCCCCGCAACTCTCTGATTTCTGTCGATTGGGGTCCTGCTTTTTATTGACGCCGCAACAAACTGGGGTGGGTCTGTCGGCGCCAGGGTTTTCTTGATAATTCAAAAGTCGCATTATTTCTGATTTCCCATTATCGCTCTTACTCTCACCCCTACTTCCTCACAGTGCCTCTGGGGGGGGGAGGCGCACACCCATCTCTCCCGGTCTCTCGTATGTCAGGTGACCGTTTTCGACCAATGGTTCCTGGTCGAGCGTCCTTTCTCCTCTTTCTCGCATATCACGTGACCGCTCTCGGCTAATGAGATTCTGGTTGGGCGTCTCCCGTCCTTCGTGACGTCTCCAATCGGGCGTGGCCTATCCGGGCTTTGTTCTGGGAAAGAAACACCTTGCTAAAAAAAAACAAAATCCAATTTGGCCTTTTTCGCACGTACGAAAACGACTATCTCGGCCTTTCTCACCTTTTGGCTTTTGTCAAAACAGCCCGCCGCTAATTAGATGTGACTTCAGGAAGAATTTTTCTCGTCTCGCTGGCGCTTTCTGTGAGCCAAAACAATTGTTTTCATTCCTTTAATTTCGTTCAGGCCTGACAGTCAAAATCTTAATTGAAAATATCTTCACTTCATCATCGTGGGGGTTCTAATCTTCAACAGGTCAGGATCTGTATACAATTCCAGCGGTCACCTTCTCATTCCAAAGACACCCCTTTCCGATTAATATTTCGTTTTCCATTGTTCTAAAAAATCCCATTTCTCCAAACTGATAATGAGCTCCCACATTCCGTGGACACAAAAGTAGGCCAGATGTTTTGACCGATATTTTTATCAATCGTACGTATGTTCATCCACTTTTACCATGTCCGTTCATTATTTCTTTTTAAACTTTTCTTTCAAATAACAATTTCCATTGTTCTTGAAATTCGGTCTGGCGCGTTGGCCTAGATATCTCTTGACACCTGTTTTCGCTTATGACCGGCTTATCTATTTCTCCTCCTCTCTTTTTTTCTTTTTTTTTTTCTTCTTCCCCTTAGGATCGCCTAAATACAATTAGAGAAATATTCTCAAAACTTAATTATTCTTCGTCTAAATAACTAACAACTGGTTAATAAACCGAATAAAAATTAAATCATATTTCTATGAATATTTCTTTTTAGTTTTTCTAATAATGCAGGGTGCCACAGAAGAGAATTTTTTCACATGTAGAAATATTTAAATTTTTTTTTTTTTAAATTTTATAAAGATTTATTTGAAGAAAGTGGAAAGATTATATTGAATCAATTGATAGATCTGCTGCTAGGAAAAGTGATTCACAGTGTGGTGCTAGTTTTTTTTTTTATTGCTAGAATTAACAAAAACAAAATGTTTTTTTTTTGCTATCCTCTGTCAGCCACAATGATTGAAAAAGAGTTACTATGCGCCATTGCCAGTGAGACATACTGCAAAAGCCACTCCATTTCGCGAGGCGCGTCCCTTAATCGAGATGCAAGCCCACCAACGCTTCAATTGTTTTCTTTTGATTGCTCGATTTATTTGCTGTGCACGTTGGCTTGGGAGGGTAGTGTTTCTGCCAGGAAAGGTGATATTGGCAAAAAACGAAACGCGTCGACTAAAACTACGTTTTTCCTATTGTCTTTTCCCTTTACGCGCGCACACACAAACGCACACACACATATACACACACACATACATATATATATATTAAAGAGAAGAGTGGATTTTTAAGATATATATAATACTTTATTTTCCATATAAAATATATATTTAAAAAATCCACATTATAACCAAAAACGTTTTCGGTTTATCTCTTCTCTTTAAAATATACACTTTTCTCTCGTTGGAACAACTATAACCTCTTCTTTATATATACGTATATGTCACCTTATATAAACTTAATACTTCTCTTCAAAAGTGTAAATTTTACATTCATTTTTTCACCCTAGGAAGTGAAGTCTGAAGATCCAATGAAAAATAAAATGTCTGGTGAAATAAATTATAACAATGGAACCTTAAAGTGATCTGTTTTTTCTTTAAATTATATATATATATATATATATATATATATATATATACGTTATTAAATCACGACAAAAATAGCCATTTTGTTTCAACACCCTCGGTGTCTTATCAAGTGTTGAAACAAATGGCTATTTTTGTAGTGATTTTATAACATATTTATGTTATAAGTTTTTGTTTTTTATATAATTATATCTGCTCTACTTTGTATTGAGCACTCTTTTAAGAATAGTAATTGTTGGTTATTGGAATTCATTCCGTATACACCAATTATATATATGTATATATATATATATATATATATATATATATATATATATATATATATATATTTTATTATTCTGTGTTTGTTTTTGTTTTTTCGATTTTGCTGTCTTCCAATGAAATCCTGTGGCAGCTTTGTGCTACAAGATCACTTCAGCAGGGTCTTTTTGCATGGCCAAAGTCAGTCTGGCTTCAAGGCCATATTTCCAGGAACATTCAGCAAGGACGTAGTTTATTGTCAATAGCTTTTGAGGCCAGCACGCTAATTGCTCTATTACCACAAGTGTTTCGTACCAAGGCTTCATAGAATGGATGCGCCTATGATTCCAAAAATTTGAAGTGGTATCTTATTAACTGTCAATGGTCAAGCTTATGCATGTGCTGTACTGGTCAAGGCCACAATGACGTACGCTCTAACGAGCTGGGAATCCGCAAGTCGTGCGTGACGGATTTGGGTGGAAAGATTGACGCTTCTCTTAAAAGGTATTAATCACGATTCATTGTAGGCGATCCAACACAGAAATGATTTGACGGGTAAGGATTTGTGTGGAGAGATGAAAGAGAAGAGATGGTCGTTTCTACAAAAGGGTTTAAAGAGAGTGAGCGTCAGCAAAATAAACTTTACTGAGAGAGTAAAAAAAAGATAATCGCTTCCAAACGCTAACAAAAACTCAGAAGGCTATAGAGATAGGTGTGTGTGTGTGTGTGTGTTTGTGAGTGTGTATGCGTGTGTGTGTGTGTGTTTGTGTGTGTGTTTGTGTGTGTGTGTTTGTGTGTGTATGTGTGTGCGTGTGTGTGTGTTTGTGTGTGTGTGTTTGTGTGTGTGTGTGTGTGTGTGCGCGCGTGTGTGTGTTTGTGTGTGTGTGTGATGGAGAGGAAAGAGAAAGGAAGATGAAAGAGAAAAGCAGAAAGGGGAAAGAGATGAGGGAGAAGGACATAGGTGAGAAAAGAAGGGTAGGGAGAGAGAGAAAGACGGACAGAACAGGAGAAAGGAGAGAGAGAAAGAGAGAAGGAGAAAGATAGGCAAAGAGAGGGGAGAGAAAAGAGAACGAGCAAGACTGAGGGGAAGGGGAGAGAAAGTTGAAAAGTGAGCGATAGGAGACGAGGAAATAATGGTTTGGTTTGGTACCTCAATGCCGACACCTTTTTTTGTTTTCTTGGTAATATTTTTGTTTTGTCAAAATTCTATTTCTGGTAATATTTTTTTCCTCAAAATTGTATAACTGGTAATATTATTTTCAAAAACATATTGCTAGCAATATTTTTTTTTCAAAAACGTATTACTGCTGGTAATGTTTTTTTCCAAAACGTATATATATATATATATATATATATATATATATATATATATATAATTAACTGTACTGTTTCGCTGTATCACAGCTCCTCGGTGCGACTAGACATCCAAATACCTCAAGCCATGATCGAAACCCAAACGATCAGTCAGAGTTTCTACCACTGAGCTATCTTCATTATATAAACAGGTTGTCCCCCAAAAATTGCCATCATTTTGTAGGTCAATAATTTTAGCAATTCTTGTTGAAATAGCCACAAATTTTCACAGAATGTATAGAAACAGTTAAAAATTTTATATTTTATGGAAGAGGACAGTACGTGCTTATCTCAATGAGAATCTGCCAGAGAGATGGATCGGGCGTGGTGGAAATGAAGACAGTTTTCTGATGAAATGGCCACCGCGGTTACCGGACATGTCCCGTGTGATATCTTTTTATGGCGATATGTGAAAGGACTGGTTTATGTTCACCACTACCCTTGCTGCTAGCATTGATGAACTTAAGCAGAGAATCACTTCCACGCTGGATAATGTTACCGGAGTCATGCTACAACGTGTTTGGCAAGAGCTTCACTAGCGACTTGACGTGTGCCGTGTCACAGGCAGTGCACATATTGAATATTTATAATAAACTTATGATGTTGAACACATAAACTCTTTAATTTCATTGAGCTAGACTTTGTAGTTTTCAAGGTAATTACTTTCAAAATGATGTCAAAATTTTTGGGACACCCTCTATTTCAAATAATTAAATTTATTTAAATTTATAACAACAGTTGATAATACAACATACACCCGTCTTGTAAGCCTGATTGGCTCGATAAGGCCAAATAGTCAGTTGATTTAAAAATTGACCTACAATCTATTAATAACTGGAGCAAGAAATGTCTGGCTAATTTTAACGCCTTCAAAACGAAATTGCCTCCTTTCAATCGTTTGAGTTCCACTTGTTTTAATTTCCACCAGCTAACTTTTTTAACTTCTCTGATTTCCCGCTGACATGAAGATTATATTCAATCAATTGTTATATCTTGGAAAGTTGGTTCACTGAGTTGCGCTATACAATTTTTCTCAGCAGAATATGTTATTATCTAGGGCAAGAAATGAATTGTTAATTTTAAAACCTCCGGAGCAAAATTGCAAATCTTTTACTCGTCTGTGAGAACTTGATGTTAAACTCCATGTTGCAACCTAGGGAAGGTTACTCAACAGAATAATCACATGAAGCTTGGTAAGGAACGATAATACTTACGACACGAACAACACATATAAGATTCACCAGCGGCGCGTAGAAGTAGTCAACTGATAGAAATGATTCAAGTGAATTCCACAATGAATCACCAACTGCAGGATATCTACCAACCACCCCAAGCGGCAGGATGTGGGACAAGACTGAATTTAATGTAGAGTGTCCAAGCCTGTAGTCGCGGCCAAAAATTCCGCGTAGACCCCTGTATAAAACGGGGTCGGGTAGCTGTTTCCCGTGACAAAACACTGCCCTTTGACATAGGGTCGTCTGAGGGTCCCCTCTGCCCGGCGGCCTAGAGTTTGACAAGCACAGCTGGAGACAAATCTCCGACTGCAGACCAACATACAGTATATACTTTTTTTTTTTTTTTTTAAGCATTGTGCCCCAAGCAAGGCGTGAAGCCACTAGGATGCAGGGGGTTGCGGAAGATTTGGAGCGAGAGCAGATAAGAGTGATAGGAAAAAGGAAGAGGAGAAGGATAGTGGGTAGATCAAGGTAATTGGAGATGTCGATTGACATTACATTTGAATAGTTGGAGATTATAGCTTTCAGGGAAACAGTAATTGGGGAGGGTGTTCCACTGGCGAGAGGTGCGAGGTATGAAGCTATTGGAGTAGAAGAGACGGCTACATTTGAAGGTTTCTACGGTGTAAGGGTGAGAGCGGGATGCCAGCCTCGTAGGGTGCTTGAATTCATGGAGTCTGGGAACCAGAGAGAGCAGCTCATCAGAGCAGTTACCATGGAAGTATTTGTAGAAAAGACAGAGAGAGGCGACGGCGCGTCTGTGAGAAAGTGACTGCAGACAAGACGCTAGATCAGGGACAATTAGATTACATATCCGTCTCTGGATTTTGTCAAGAACTCCGAGGTAAGCAGAAGGTGCTCCAGCCCATATAGGGCAGCAATACTCCATGCAAGGGCGAATGGTTGTTTTGTATATTTGAAGTATCGATTCAGGGGAGAAAAATTTCCTGGCGCGGCACAGAGAGCCAACTTTCCTCGCGGTGGAAGAAGAAATTGACTCAATGTATTTGTTCCATCTCAGGTCAGCAGTCAGCGTGAGGCCGAGCAGACGCAGGGAGTTGCTCTCAGGAAGTTGACTATCAGACATTTTAATGGGGGGGGGGCAGGGAAGGATCTCTATGGTGGTTAATGGAGAGTAATTTAGTCTTTGTGGCATTAAAGTTGACCAGCCAATTCTTGCCCCAGTTAACAACCGATTGGAGGTCCATTTCAAGACGCACAGCAAGGTTAGTTTTGTCGCCGACACTAGATTTGTTTTTGAGGCAGGAGTAAATTGTAGTGTCGTCTGCATAGATGCCGACTTGGGAATCTATAGCTTCAGGAAGGTCATTGATGAAAATAAGGAAAAGAGTGGGGCCAAGGATGGAGCCTTGGGGCACACCTGCGTTAGTGGGATAGGAACTGGAGGAGAATCCGTTGAGAACGACCTTCAATTCTCGGTTGGACAGGAATGGTTGTATTAGATCAAACAGTTGACTAGTAACACCATACCCCTGGAGCTTACGAAGAAGGCCGGCGTGCCAAACCCTATCGAATGCTTTGGAGATGTCGAGGGCCACAGCACAAGCCTCACCGTTATTTTGAAGGGCTTGGTAGACGGTTTCAGTGATGGCCGTAAGCACATCAGCTGTAGATCGGGCGTAGCGGAAACCATATTGCTTGTCTGAGAGCAGATTATGGGATGTGAGGTGATTAACCACTTCGGCATTGATTAGGGCTTCGAAGACTTTGCCGAAGAGGGGTAGGAGACTAATAGGACGGTAATTAGTGGGGTCAGAGGGGTCTCGAGAGTTCTTAAACACAGGAACAATGGATGAGGACTTCCAGCAGTCAGGAAAACATGATTCCTTGAGGCAGTAATTATACAGTTTAGAGAGGGCGGGTGCTAGCTCAGGCGCGCATTTCTTCAGGACAATGGCTGGTATGCCATCTCCACCACTAGCCTTGTGGGGGTCTAAGGTGGAGATAATGCCCAGTACCAATGACGGGGTTATGTGTAAGCCGCTCAGTAAGGCCTCAGTTCTAAGAGGGAAGTCTGGTATGGGTACACCGGTGGAGTCGAGCGTTGAATTAAATGAGAATTTCCGAGCAAAGCATTCAGCCTTGTCGGTAGAGGAGGTCAAGACCTCGAACTGGTTGAATAAAGGAAGTATGGAGGGTTTTCGATTATTCAGGACACTCTTGCAGACTCGCCAATAATCTTTGGAGCGAAATTTGTGAGATGCAATACGTTCCTTCATTACTGTACTTATGTCAATGGGGACATACCCATTATCGTCCGTAGGTATGCTAAAATACTCTATGAGAATGAATCCTTGCGACTTTTTAGCTGACATTTTCCGCAGACATGAAGTGGAAAGATTATATTGAATTAATTGATAGATCTGCTGCTAGGAAAGGTGATTCACAGTGTCGTGCTAGTTTTTTTTATTGCTAGAATCTATCTTGTGTTCAAAATATTTACATTTCAGCATTAAATAACCCAGAGAGGTTGATATGCCATTAAACAAACCAACCAAGCCAAACATATAAAATATTAGCTCTTTAAATCCAACTTTAAAACTATTGTCATTGAAAATGGAAATACACCCTTGTGCAAATTAATTGAAACAACAACTTTTTTTTCTTTCAGCATACGGCCAGTTTTAGACGCACTGGAATGACAGGATGAAATCGATTTCTATTATTTCCTCAGATTAGGTCATTTGTAGTGGTGTGCAGTAATATAAATCTATTTTCGGGGTGTGTAATGAAATTTGTTTGGCCTTGAAAAATAATGCGTCATCCGTGATTGCATCAGATTTTCATCACGCCCAGACACTATTGTCTTGACTATCGATTAGTTGTCCTATGGCCATTGTCTGCGATGGACGGTACTCCAAGAAAGCGCACAAAAATTTTAACGCGACACGAGCCTTACCAGTGAGCAAATCAAATTACTATCGACTGACTTGGAAACTCTCGTGTTTTAAATCCAATCGAAAATTTGTGGTCAATCTGCGAGGAACGACTTCGTGGAATGGGTATACGAAGAATTAAAATGTGTACTGGTTCATGTTTCACTGGAAAAATATTTTTAAAAATAATAACGGAATTATTCGTTTTGTTTCAATTAATTTGCACAAGGCTGTATATGCTAGTTAAAATTTAGATCGTAACGGTTAAGTATTTTTAATAAAATGTAGGAAAATAAATTAATTACAAGTCAAGAATTAATAATAGGGTTTTAAAAAACTTTCATCTGATGAACGATAAAATTGAAAATTTTAATAAAATTCTTCAAACTTTCAGTCGATTACTTGTCTTTTTCTATTTCTAAAAAAAAAATGGACGTCGAAAACATTATCGCTTCGAACCAGAATTGTTTTTGCATTTAAAAAATATATCAGTTTAACAGGAAAATGGCGTTAGACCGAAGGCTGGAAATATTTTGATAACTGGATAATGACAATAGGCATTTAGAAGATTTATATATCTTATTTTTTTTTAAAAAATGCATCATATATTTTCATCTGTTATATGGAAGTCTATTTTTTAATACAGAATAGGAACTCTTAAAAATGCATATGAGCTGTCACCGTATAAACACAAGGTTCTAATAAGTGCATTCAGAGATATCCCGAAGGACTGTCGGCCAATTCCATTGTACTTAATAATGTGTAGTCAGTCGAGTTGATAAGCACGCACGAGAAGTGAAAATGCAAATGAGAATCTCGTGGGAAACATGCCATAGATACGCATATGATAAGTAGGATCCTCCGGGTAGAAATGTCGGAGACAAAGACGGTAATGACAAGAAATAACAGTGAATGAAATGAGTTCATTCACAAGTCTATAAAAAAAAGAAGTAAAAAAAAAAAAAAAAAAAGAAAAGAAAAAAGTAATTTATTTTTCCACTGTTTCTTGCATAATTCTTTTTGTATGTAAAAATAGCGAGTCTCTTTTTTTAGTAGAAATGAAATGTGGCTTAATCCCAGTATATAAGAAGCCGTTTCGGATTATCTAATTTCCTCTGAATTTGTCCCACATGATTATAATTCGAACGGGCTCATTTTAAAGAAAATCCTGTCTATAACTCTATGTAGTATTATTTGCATTATTCGGACTATAATCCACATTTTCATTGCCATATTTACAAAGTTTCTGCCTCTATAGCTCTGAGTTATTATAATTACTTCCATTCTTTATTCGGGCAGTTATCCTCATCTTCATTGCCATATTCACAGCGTTTCAGCCTCTATATCTCTGAGATGAGGTATTATGATTACTTGCATTCTTTACATTATTCGGACTGTTATCCTCATCTTCATTGCCATATTCACAGCGTTTCAGCCTCTATATCTCTGAGATGAGGTATTATGATTACTTACATTATTTACATTATTCGGACTGTTATCCTCATCTTCATTGCCATATTCACAGCGTTTCGGCCTCTATATCTCTGAGATGAGGTATTATGATTACTTGCATTCTTTACATTATTCGGACTGTTATCCTCATCGTCATTGCCATATTCACAACGTGTCGGCCTCTATACCTCGGAGATGAGGTATTATGATTACTTGGATTATTTACATTATTCCTCATCTTCAGTGCCATATTCCCAAGGTTTCGGCCACCCTTTCACTGTCGAAATAATTAAACGTAACCGCCTCTTCTCCAGCAGCTTCTCTTGCACTTCCCGACAGTGAATCTCCCTTCCTCTTACTTGCTTCCCTGGTAGCTATAATCTTTAAATATTCAAATGCAATGTCAATTGACATCTTCTGATGCCTTGATCCTGATCCCCGTCCTTCTCTTTATCCTTTCTTCAAACACCCCTCTTTACTCTTGCTCTCACTCTCTGTAACCCCTTGTGTACTAGTGGCACTCCTGCATTGCTTGTGGCGAAATTATTAAAAAAAAAATTGGATCGATATTGGTTAACTCTAGACTCGACGTCTGGCCCACGAAGAAGCTGCCACAAGTAAGGAGATGTCCAAATGAAATATCCCTCTTACCACTGAGATACGAAGGGAATGGGGATGGTTCGCTACTGTGGCACACCAGAGCACGATTAGATTTAGCCATCAATATCGGTACTAAGTGGAACGAGGAATATAGCTCGCCAGAATATTTTCCATTGAAATACTGATAGAATGACAGCAAGTGACATTTCCTGTACGTCGAGTGGCTACGTACGTAAAAACGTTCTTGAATCAACATGCTTAAACTTAATAAACATGATGTCTGCTAGACACACACGCGCGTGCGCAGGCACACATACACTAACGAATATACATTATCCTCTGATTTCCATATAGATAAACATGACTTATTATTCAATTATACGCACATAAAGCACTATTTACAGTTTTTCACGTAGGCTTGGTATCCATTAATTTCTTTGAAATCTGGAAGGAAGCGTCATCTTTCCACGAATTCGGAACGTCACAAATTCTACTAATATTGGTTTAAAAGAGTCGAATGCCCGTAAAACATGATTAACCAATGAAAATCAAACAAAAGAAAAAGTACAAAAATACCAACATTTCTTTCTTTATTTTCTTCATATCTGTGTCTCTGATTAAACTGAAATATCTTAGATTGATATTATTTTATTATTCTGTCGGATTCCGATACATATTTGGTGTATATTTGATCTCAACTGATCAAGGTTAGCTATATATATATATATATATATATATATATATATAATAAATTAATTGATTTAAAATATGTTTTTTTTTATACACAGTTCTAACCATGTTTCAAAAATGAACTAATGTCTTTAATTTAATTACAAAATTAAATTCGGGGCATTTAGCTTCCATTTTTGAAACATGGTTAGAACTGTGTAGCGAAAAAACATTTTTAAATCACTTAATTTATAATATTAATGCTCTGTAAATTTACATTGAGCACTATTTTGTAAAAATAAAAATATCTATAAGAATACCGGATTATATATCTTACAGTTCTTTCTTTTTATATATATATATATATATATATATATATATATATATATATATATATATGTTATAGTACAAGGAACATGGACCATAACATATATATGATCCAAGGTTAGAACCAATGAAAGAATAACACGAACACAGGTATGGTATACAAAGATATATGACAACAGAAATATAATACAAAGAAGTAGAAGTATTAGTAATGACTATCAGATTTGGTTAGAGTGAACTATGTTGTCTCGGCAAGTATCACTATTCCAATGTCCTTACAATATGCTCTCAATTATCTCTCCTCGTCTTACAATCTCCTCATACATCTTGAGAGGCGCAGTATTTATAATGTCAGGAATAGTCCATTATTATTATGCGTAAGTTCCCATAACTATATATATTTAAGATTATCGCACAAACTTTCATAACTGAATCAATAAGCAGTCAGATCGTCATAAACCGACGGGAGAGTCCATTTTATATATATATATATATATATATATATATATATATGATTTTTCATAGATGCAACAGAATTACTTAACTGTAATACAGTGACTTTTCAAGCGTAGCTTAGATGTGGCACAAGGCCGAAACTAAGGGGAACCCGGTAAGGATCGAAATCACTGCTCAGTCGTAATTGTTCTAGCGAGACAAGCTTGCTAACCATTACACCACGTCGAGGTACCCTTACTTAACTGTAATATATCTATTTTATTAGCTTTTATTAGCATGATGCTTAAAGATCCAAGCTTGTAAAACAATGAGTAATATTTGCTCATATATATATATATATAGTAGTAGTACTCGTTTAGAAAACCTTGGATAGCTCAAATTGCAGATACGTTTGGACACATCGGAACCCGAGGAGAAAATTGATAATAAAAAAGAAAGAACTAAAAACATCAGAACAAGACAAAACAATTCACCAAGTACTTAAAGTCCTTAGTCTAAAGAAAAAAAAACCCAAATGAGTAGAAATACTAAAACGAAGAGTACTCAATGCGCTAAGTAGAGCGGTAAACTAGAATAAATCCTAAGGAGCCAGGTAAACCTACCTAGGTTTCACCTAAACGGATCTTCAGGGTAAGCTGGCTTATTCTAGTATATATATATATATATATATATATAAATATATATATATATATGTAGAAAAATATACGGAAAAAACAAACAAAAATCATTATATACAATTATGCTGTTTTAATGTTAATATGTCAACGTCTGACGTTTCGGTCTAATAAACCATCTTCAGGACATATCCATAAAGTATAATTAACATTATCAATTCAACATGACAATAATAATAATCTTAATTATATTTGATGAATATGTCCTGAAGATGGTTTATTAGACCGAAATGTCCGACGTTGACATATTAACATTAAAACAGCATAATTGTATATAAGGATTTTTGTTTGTTTTTTCCGTATATTTTTTTCTTCATACTGTCGGATCTATATCCATATATTTGCTTGCATATATATACATACATATATATATATATATATATATATATATATATATATATATATATATATATATAATCTGTTGGTATATAATCCAAGTGGATCCTCGTAATATTAATTATTAAAACTGATCCACAAAAAGAGCTCAATGTATTTATTATTATTGTGTATGGCATATATATATATATATATATATATATATATATATATATATATATATATATATATGGGGAAAATGTATGACAAAGTGAAAAAGTTTTCTATTGACGCCATTCATCGGCCTAAATTTCTTGTTGATGCGTCTACGCATGCGCACGAATGAGGTATGCTGGGAATTTAGATTTTTTTTTTTTTAATCTAACCGATTTTATTTAGACTCTGTTTCTTTTTTCTTTCCATCACTTTAGTTGGTAGATATCTCACACTGTAATAATAGAAATTCTGCTAGGATTGTGAAATGTTGCAAGAGCTAAGGTCGCAAATCTGCAAAGAGGCACTATCTAAAAATTTTCGTCGTAGTGAATTGCTTCTTTCTTTGGTCAGAGTTACATTTTTATTTGAAAATTGTGGTCTTCCCTGTATAGGTAAAATATCACAATATACTGGACTAGGATGAGACTGTAGCCGAGATGCCAGGTTTAATAAAATTGCAGGTTCCTCTTTGTATTTTGTGAAGAATTTGGTGACGTCTGTAAAATAGAAAGGAAACAGGAGATTTCTGTAAAACTCACCTAAAAAATAAACGCAACCATTTTCTCATAAGCTGTATCATACGGGTATACTAATATGAGCAATCGAATGGCAAAATGAAATAGGTTTTGTCCTTTAAAAGAACTTCATCAGATTAAAATAGCGCCTTTATTGACGGAATTATATATAAAAAAAGGCGGGCGAAAGTAAAAATAAATGAAAAGCCGCTTGTAATTATGCAAATTATGGAATGGAAAACGTCGCGAAATTTTAGATTTAAATTTTGAAATTTTGGCGTCTGATGTATCTAGATCAATAGCTTAGTCGTCTTCATTCAATTTCTCAATGTTTTTTTTTAGTACTGTTGTACGTTTAAACACATCGAACAAAATAAATTTAAAATTTAGATTTAATATTTAACGTCTCTATCTCTACAATATAATTATATATTTTTTTATTCTGATTTTATCAAAGAACAAAATATATCGCATGTTATTATTTTGATTCTTTTAATCATTTCACCCCAAGCAGGCGGGAATGGCTCTAAGATGCAGGGGGGGTTGCAGGGAGAGAAAGTGAAAGAGAAAGCCTAGGGAGGATCGAAGAAAGGACAAAAGATGAAGTGGATAGAAGAAAATAGAAGATGGCGATTGATATTGCATTTAAATTTTTGAAAATTGTTGTTATCACAGAAGCAGAAACTCGGAAGGGAGTTTCACA